GCAGTAAATGTAATATACCATATCAACAGAGCCACAGACAAAAAAAATCACATGATCATCTAACAGATGCAGAAAAAGAATTTGACAAAGTCCAGCACCCACTCATGATGAAAACCCTACAAAAATAGGAATAGACGATTTTAACCTCAATCTGATAAAAGCCATCTGTGACAAACCAACAGCCATCATCATATTAAATGGACAAAACCAGAAAGCTTTTGCTCTAAAATCAGGAACAAGACAAGGATGTCCACTATCACCACTCCTATTTAATATACTTCTGGAAACATTAACCAGAGTAATTTGAAAAGAAAAAGAAATAAAAGCAGTAAGGATAAGAGAGAATTTAAATTATCATTATTTACAGATAACATGATACTCTACATAAAAGGCCCCACAAACTCCACCAAAAGGCTTCTAGATTTAATAACCAAATTCAGTTACATTGCTGGATACAAAGTCAACACTCAAATATCCATAGCATTACTGTACACAAATAACAAACATGCTAAGAGAGAAATTAGGGAAACAACACCCTTCATAATAGCATCCAAAGAAATGAAATACTTAGGAATCAATCTGACAAAGGAAGTAAAAGATCTCTACAGTAAAAATTGCAGTACTCTGAAAAGGGAGATTGAAGAGGATATCAGAAAATGGAAAGATATCCTTTGCTCATGGGTAGGAAGAACCAAAATAGTAAAAATAGCTATACTCCTGAAATTGCTAAACAGATTTAATGCAGTCCCAATCAAAATACCACTAGCATACCTCACAAAACTAGAAAAAAACATTCTTAAAATTCATTTGGAACCAGAAGAGATCTAAAATAGCAAAAAAATCCTGGGCAACAAAGGCAAGCAAGGGGACACCACAATCCCAGACTTGAAATTAGATTATGAAGCAACTGTGATAAAAACAGCATGATAATAGCAAAAAAACAGATCTGAGGATCTATGGAACAGATTATAAGGTGCAGAAATAACTCCAAACACATTCAGTCACCTCATCTTTAACAAAGGGGGTCAAGCATGCTCACTGGAAGAAAAATAGCCTCTTTAATAAATGGTGCTGGAAAAACTGGCTTTCCACATGTCAACTACACCCATGTTTCTCATTATGCATTAAACTAAATCCAAAATGAATCAAATATCTAAATATTAAAACAGAAACACTAAATCTGCTGAAAGAGAGAATAGGTAGAACACTTGAAGACATAGGTATAGGCAAGGAATTCGTGAACAAAACCAGATCACTTGGGAAATACTACAAAGAATTAACAACTAGGATATCATCCTATTAAAAAGTTTTACACAGCAAAAGAAATCACCAACAGAGTGAAGAGACAAACCATGGTTTGGGAAAAAATTTTAGTCAGTAGCCCTTCAGATAAAGGACTAATATCTAGAACATATAAGGAATTGAAAAAAAAAAATCCCTAAATTTAAAAAGACCCAATCCAAAAATGGGAGTCTGAAAAGAATGCACACTTCTCAGAGGATGAAATACAAATGGCAAATAAATAAATGAAAAAATGTTCAGCATCTTTGGTCATTTGAGAGATGCAAATTAAAACAATGCTGAGATTCCATTTCACTCCAGAAAGAATGGCTATCATCAAAAAATCAACCAATAACATGCTGGCAGGGCTGTGGGGGAAAAGGAACACTTCTCCCCTGTTGGTGGGAGTGTAGATTGCTGCAACCACTGTGGAAATCAGTGTGGAGATTCCTCAAAAAGCTAGAATTAGAGGTCCCACTTATCCTAGCAATTACTCTGTTCAGTATCTTCCTGAAAGAATTAAAAACATCATACCACAGTGACATATGTGCACTCATGTTTATAGCAGCACAGCTTGTCACAGCTAAATCTTGGAAACAACCCAAATTCTCCTCAACTGAGGAATGGATAAAAAAGATGTGTTTTTTTTAATTTTTTAAAAATTTTTTAATTTTTTAATTTTTAATTTTAGAAATTAAAGGAGGAAAATACTAACAGACCGACAACATTTTACAAAATAGCATCGGATAAGTACAGACATTACAGAGTTACAAACAGAGTGGTAGGGAATTAACAATGCTTATTGTATTACATATTGATATCTACAATGTAGTTTCTCATGAAAACACATATAGACATACAAAGCTAATCAACCAATGACTCACTGACAGTTTCTTTCAGCAAGGAAATACAGGACAGTAGAACACCCGTGTTAACTATCCTGCATATACATATATACAAACTTTCTCCTTCTTTCCCTTCTCTTTTCCCATATCCCAGTTAAGATGTGTTTTTTTTAATACAATGGAATACTACTCAGCCATAAAGAAAGATAAACTTGAGACATTCTTAAGTAAATGGATGAACCTTGAGACCATACTCTTAAGTGAAATAAATCGGACACATGTGCAAATACCACATTGTTTTTTTGGTTTGTGAAACCAGAAGGGTAAATAAGGGCCAAAATATATAATAGGTATTGTGAAATAGGAGGAAATTGTTCAAAGGAAAGGCGAAGTGAGGATTGTGAAGGGAGAAAAGATGGAAAGGAAATGTAAAAAAAACCATTAAAGGAAGGATAAAATGGAAACAAAGCTTGGTAAATCAGGAGGGAAAGAGGGGTTGAAGAAAGGGTAGGGGATTGAAAAAAAAGAAACCAGCATATATCATGCATAGGTACAAATTCTCTATGATGAATGTGATCATAATGTATATCATACTGTACCAATTATACCAATAAACTTAATAAAAAATTGCAAACCATAAACATCATTAAAAGAACAAAGATTCCTAAAATAATTAAAAAATAGAATTTCCATATGATCTAGCATTCCTACTTCTATGTGTATGTTGAAAAAAAGTTGAAAATAAGAGTGCAAAGAGAAATCTGCAAGTTTGTGCAGTATTCATACTAACCAAAGTGTGGAAGCAAATCAAATGTCCATCAATGAATGAATGAAGAGGCAATATGGGGCATATAATACAATGGAATATTATTCAACCTTAAAAGGGGAAATATTGTCATATGTTACAACATGGACCAAAGACATTATGTTAAGTAACATAAGCCAACCATGAAAAGATAATGCTATAGGATCACACATATATGATAAATCTAAAGTAGATAAATATATAGAAATAAAAAGCAGAACAGTAGCTTCTGGGGACTAGAGAGAGGAGGAAAATGAGAGTTGTATTTTATTTTATTTTACTTTTTGGTACCAGGCATCAAACTCAGGACCTTGCACTTGCCAGGCAGGTGCTGTGCTGCTGAGCTATATCCCTGGTGGGAGTTGTTTAATGGATATCATTTAATTTCAATTTTGCAAGATAGAGTTACAGAGTTCTGTTATAGAACAACATGAATATATTTAACACTACTAATTTATATTCTGAAAAATGATTAAAACAGTAAATTGTATATTATGTGGGTTTTTTGAACCATAATTAAGGGTGATTTAAAAACCTCTTCCACATAAGGTACAATTCACAGTTTGACATCTAGTGAAAGATCACCAGACACACAGAAGCAAGGAAAGGAGCAGAATAATCAACCCATCAAAACCAAGCCAGAACTGACCCAGATGCATAACATAAGCTTTTTGTGAATGGACACAAAAGAATGAAGGTATCAGAAATGATAATTATATACAAATACTTCTCTTACTATTTCAATCTCATTTTAAAATACTAGAATACAAGGGGTGATCAAAAATATGGCAAATGTTAAAAGTTTTAAACGCTATTACAGTAAAATATGTGTTACTATTAATCTCCCTCATTTCAAACACACTTACCCATCATTCTTGCCACTTTCTGAAGCCATTTTCTGGAAGTTCTCTTTCGTGTCTGTATGAGTTATAATAAAAAATACAATGAGTGCTGGGTGTCATCCAACAAAAAGTCAGGCTTACAAAAATAGTCATAGTATGTCCTCATCCATCTTGTTTGCGGGATCTGGCAACTGTGTAACTTCTGGCTCTTCCTCAAAGATAAAATGCAAGGTAAATGTTTTGAATCAATTCAGGACATCCATGACAGCACAACTCATGAAAGAGGACCTCCAGAACTGCTGCTGAAAGTCACAAGAACAGTGGGATAAGTTTGTTTGAGGGGATGGGGTAGGTATTTTGAAGTGGGCTTGGTGGCAGTGTGTCTTTTACTGTAATAATTTTTAAATTTAACTATGCTGTACTTAAAAATTTTTTTCTCTTACCACACTTCATAATTTTTGAGCTAGGAAAAATCTCAATGTTAGTACAAAGAATTGCTGTATGCCCCTCACCCAGTTCTTCCTACGGTTTAAATATTTTACATTATTATAGCACACTTTAACACAACAAAGGAATTAACATTGATACATTATCACTTCCACTTTTCTTTCGGTCTGATGTGCTTTACACAGATATGATATGATCAGAGTTTGTGTAGCTTAACTATGTTCCACAATACTATACATTTGAGAAAAAAAAATCACTTGAAATTCAACCACAATTCAGAAGGAAAGTATCCAAAATTTAAAAAAAAGGTTTCATGGGCACATGCTTCACTAAACAATTATAAGCATTAATAACTAGAAAAATTAAGCTTCATTAGTTTATAAGTTTTCATGGGCACATGTTTCACTAAATAATTATATACATTAATAACTAGAAAAATTAAGCTTCATTAGTTTACAATAATATTAATAATATATTAACAATAGCTAGCCAAAACTTTATGGTGATGAGTACATCTTGCTGGAATTTAATTACTTCAGTGATTGGTAGAATCAGAATGTAGACCCAGGCCTGAGGCACAGCAGAGTCATCAGATTTGACCGTTAGGCTTAACTTCAGGGAGATGATGCAAAGGACTAATCCTAGCAATGCCTGTGGCGTCCAGGCCCCAAAATAGCCACCCCAGGGGCCCACCTTATCATGTCTATGGGAAATATCATAGGGTGAGACAGAGGAAGTGCAGAGCTGCTGTCCCTTGATAACATTTTTGTGGCCCTCAGAGGAAGGATTAAAATAGGGCTGCTCTGCTTGTCCTCGGCTGTTGGAAGTGCTGCTTGCACGGTGAGTCACGCTCTTGGGGCTCTGCTGTGGGAAGCACTGAGCATGACCACCACCACCCCATCACCCGGAGACGCTGGACGGGATGCAAGGTGGGTTTTGCTCTGGCAGTTCATGTGCAGTCTGGATGGTGCGGTGGTTTCTTTTTCTACTTCATGCTGCCCAGTGTTCTGGGACAGCACCGACGGGCCAAACTAGGCTTGTGAATGGGGCAAGGAGCAGCACTCAGGTTCCTGCTGGGCTGTACCCAGAGACATCAGTTTTGAGGTTTTCTGGCAGGTATCACTTAAAAAATTTTACTGCTGAAAAACTTTGAAAACCACCAGCCTACTGGGAGGCAGCAAAGTATGGTGGTTCGGATTGTGGCTTTGAAGCTTGACTATTAGGTTCAAATCCTGGTTGTGATTTGGTGGACCGTGTACCTGGGGCAAATTAACACTACTGAGCCTCAGCTCCGAATTGGCTCCAGGGAACCACCAGGAAAAAGAAGTGAGTAACACTCCCTTTGGGTCCGAGCAGTGGGTGAGCAGCAAGAGGGGACTCAGACTAAGACTCAGAGTGAGAAGAGGAAATGCTGAGGGTAGTGCTGGTGAACCTTTTAATAGTACAAACAGCTCACTGCACGTGTGCCACAGGTTCGCCACCATTGTCCCAGTGGTTCACAGGTGAAAGTCTCGGGCCTGGCTCCCAGACAGGTCTGAAGTACAGACAGGCTGCCCTGTGTCCCTCCAGACAGTATCTTGGAAAATCATAAAACTGATCCACTTCAGCCAAGAGTCAATCCCTTTCTCGTTATAAATGTGAAAACTGAGTTGTAGGCAAATTATTCCTTGTATGCAGCTTAAAAATTAGAAACTTGTACCATACAAGCTATTCTGTTTTGATGTCTTTTTTCTGAAAGTGTTTACATTTTCTTATTCACATGAATAAAGTAGTTTCTCATTTCCTATGTTGGAGTCAGAGGATGCAGGTGGTAGTGATTAGAAGAAAACCTAGGAACCTAAGAAAACCTAAAAACCCAGTAAGGTTAGAGATGGACTGCATTGCTCTCTTTCTCTCTGTT